TAGAGACGGGGTTTCACCATGTTGACCAGGATGGTCTCGATCTCTTGACCTCGTGATCCACCCGCCTCGGCCTCCCAAAGTGCTGGGATTACAGGCTTGAGCCACCGCGCCCGGCCTAGGTGGTGTATTTTTTAAATCTCCACAGTGATAGCTATCACAAAGCTATGAAATATCTTAAATCCATATTACAGCTGAGCTTTATTTATTAGAGACAGGGTCGTGCTCTTTTGCCAAAGCTGGTGCGCAGTGGTGCAATCATAGATCACTGCAGCCTCAAACTCCTGGGCTTAAGGGATCTTCCCACCTCAGCCTCCTGAGTAGGTAGGATTGTGGACACACACCAACTCGCCCACCTAATTTTTAAATTAATTTTTTTTTTTTTTTTTTTGTAGAGATGGGTTTCACTTTGTTGCCCACGCTGGTTTTGAACTCCTGGTTTCAAGCAATCCTCCCGCCTCAGCCTCCCAAAGTGTTGGGATCACAGGCATAAGCTACCATGCCTGGCCTACAGCTGGTTTTTGTAACATTCCCTCCTTCTTGAAAACCCAGAGTTCTGTGACTTTCAAACTCTTGGTAGCAAATCTCTCTATTATGTTGATGTAGTTCATGGCTGGCACTAAAATTTAATCATGTTGTTGCTGGCTGTTTTTATGGGCTGGTTTTATTGAGGAGGGCCTGCCTTGATTGGTCATATATCCAAATTCAGGTAAGGAGTGTAAAGAATTTCCATGGAGTGAGTAATTGAACCTTTGGTTCTCAAGGATTTGTGGTATATTCCTGGTCACATAGTGCATAAGATTTGGGACCTCTACTTCTTGGTTACCCAACTTTAAGTCACATTGTTTCTGGTTTTGCAGTGTAGTTTTTATTGGATACAAATTTAGAATATTGGTACATGTAGTGTTATAAAAACAAAAATAGCAGTGGCAACCCTGTAGGAATTCTGACTAATAGATATCACATGGATACTCTGTATTTGTCTCTTTTGCCAGGTTTATGACACCTCTGATGGCACCTTACTTCAGCCCCTCAAGGGACACAAAGACACTGTATACTGTGTGGCATATGCAAAGGATGGTAAAAGACTGCTCTGGGTTTTCATTCTCTATAATGGCCTCATCATTGTTCATTTTTCTCCTTAGTCACTTTTTAATTATTTGTAGTAAGCTAGAGTACAGCTTGCAAGTTCAGAAGATAGTGAAGTTGCTTAGACTTCAATTCAGTCATTCAATCCAGCAAGTGTTTATTGAGGGCATCTACATGCCAGCACTGTTCAAGGTGCTTGAGATACTTCAGAGAAAAAAACAATGGTCTCTCCCCTTATGGGGCTTATGTTTTATGAGGAGTGAGGAGTGAGAGAGGAAGAGAATATGAGGAAAGATATATAGTATACATAGTAAATAGGTAAATTAAGCAGTATGCTGGAAAGTGATAAGTGCTATAGAAGAAAATGTAGAGCAGAATTAGGGGAGTTGAGAGTGCTGGGCAGGGCAGGGGGTTGGATGCAGTGTTGAATTAGATTAGTGAGGGTGAACTCATTGAGATAAGGACAGGTGAGCAAAGACTTGAAGTCAGGAGGCAGTGAGATTGTGCCAGTAGGCATCTGGGGTAAGAGAGCTCCTTGCAGGGGAAGAGCCATTGCAAAGGCCCTCAGGTGTGGCTGTGCCTGGTAGGAGCTGGATCAGAGAATCAGGGGAATTATAGGGGATGAAGATAAAGCGGTAACAGACATGGGATGGGTCAGATCAGGCTGGCCATCATAAAGATTTTGATTCTCAGTCAAAATGGGGGAACTACTGAAAGGTTGTCAGTAGAGGAAGAATCTGATCTGACTTATATTTTAAAAGGATCCCTCTAGTTGCTGAGTTGGAAACAGACTGCAAGAGGTGAGGGTTGGGGCATCTGAGTTAGGAAGCATCATCCAGACAAGGGGTGAGGGTGGCTCAGACCTCTATGAGGGCAGAGGAGATGGTGAGAAATGATCAGACTCTGGATATAATTGGAGGGTGGAGCCAACTGGATTGCCTGACAGCTTGGATATGGGATGTGAAGAGAAAGGGGGCAAAGTTTTTGACCTGAGGACTGAAAGGATGCCCCACCACTGAGATGAGAAAGACTGCAGGTAGAGAAAACTTACAGTTGGAGATCAGGAATTCAGTTTTACATATGCTGAATTTGAGAAAAGTTGATGATGTAGGAGAGAGGAGAGAACTGCTGGAACAGAGTTGTTGAGTAGGCAAGAGGAGATAGGATCTAGGGCATAGACGGGGTATTTGCTTTAGATAGGGGCATGGTAGGAACTGCAGAGGTCGGCAGATGGGGACAGTGTGGTAGTAGGAATCTAATAGAAATTCTCAATTCCTTCCTTTTTTTTTTCAGTGAAGTAGGAAGCAACATCAACTGAGAGTAACAATGGGGAAGGGAGGTTTCAGAGAGTTGAGGAGAAAGGAAAAAGTGTAAAATCACTGCCTTAGAGAATGGGAGAGTGAGTGGACCCAGGAGGTATAGTGGGATCCCCAGTAACATGAAGGGTCGTCTTGAAGATTGTGATCATGAATTGAAAGTGAGATTAGTTGGTGTGATTGTGCCTTTTTCTCCAGCCATTTTGAGCTGCATAGTGGCAGAAGTGAATTTAACCAAAGGTGGTTTTGCAAGCACATTTGAAGGTGAAGTAGGAGGGCAAGGGAGCAGAAAGTGTATACAAAGAAATAATTACATACATTAACCTTGAACTGTTGGCTGAATAATGAGGGGACAGATGACAGCGGAGGAGGAGGAGGAGTAGTAGTCGGGTTGAAGGATTATTGCAGTTAGGGTACCAGGTAGGTTGGGAAGGAAGGGAAGTGGTAGTCAGGGAATGGGTGCATGAAATTTGAGATTTAAACTTTTTAAAAAATAAATCCTTGCTACCCCAGAGCATGGGATTAGTGGGAAGAATATGGGCTTTGGAATGAGACAGTTGTGAGTTCTAATCCCAACTCAAAACCAGAATTCTGTGAGCTCGAGCTAGTTATTGAGTCTGAGTCACGATTTCCTCATGTGTCAAAGGGATATAGGATTATAGATAGCATTCTGTAGCCACTGCCAAGAAGTCATAAAATCGCAATGTTACAGTGCTTGAATAGACCTTGGAGGTTATTCCATTCCCAGGTTTTTAACTTCTTTTGGCTGATGGGCCTCTTTGAGAATCAGGTGGAAGCTTTAGAACACTTTCTAGAAAAATGCATATTGTTCATGTATATGCAGAATTTTGTGCATATAATTTTAGTCTGATTAGTCCATTTTCTTCACCTTACCCTACATAAAGACATAGACTATTGGCCAGGCACAGTGGCTCATGCCTGTAATCCTACTTTAATCTGGGAGCCTGAGTTGGGAGGATTGCTTAAGGCAGGAGTTTGACATAGCCTAGGCAACATAGTGAGACTCTGTCTTTAAAATAAAAAGACAAGTCATATGTCTTGCCAAAGCCATGGCCCAAAGACAAAACTAATTTCTTGCTTCATAGTCAGGTGTGCTATACCATGGTATTCATATATTTTTGTGTGTATGCATGAGTTTAAGTTTAGAGTAATGTTTTAGGGAGACCTGTGAGGAGGGAGCCTGGAGAGCTGAAGTGTTTCGGCGTCGTCCTAGTGGCTGTTGAGGAATGTGGGTGAGTCCAGGGCCCAGTATAAGGCCCAGTAGGAACAGAAAGCTATTGAACCTCTGGTGTTTATAAGCATAGCAGGGCTCTTTAAACTGCAACACCATTAAGGCACTTGCGGATGTCAGAGTGTGACCTGTCAGTAGTGGCATTTGCATAGCACTTTGCGGATTCCTGTTACATATATCTCATTTGACCCAACAACCGTCTGAAGCAGGCAGCAAGGGGACTCTTATCTCTGCTCAAAGATGAGAAGACAGACTTGGAGCAATTACAGGTGACAGTGGCAGAGACAGCCCTAACCCAGTTCCTCTGACTGCAGAGCCATCGTTCTTTCTAGTGCATCATGCTGCCTCTTCATGACACCTTTATAATGATTAAGAAGTCTTTTACTCCTCAAAACTGGTTTTTTCCTCTTAGACCTGAAGGTTGAGGTACACTGAATTCCAGCTTTGCTCTTTAAGTCTACTCGTTTCTGATTTCTCCCTTAAGTTTAATAAGTATTTAATGAGCAACCATGATATAAAAGTATGTAAGACATAGTTGTTTTTTTTTTGTTCAAAAGAAACAATATAATATGGAAAAATAATAGAAATAGCTAATTTTTTTGTTTTGTTTTGTTTTGTTTTTTGAGACGGAGTTTCGCTCTTATTACCCAGGCTGGAGTGCAATGGCGCGATCTCGGCTCACCGCAACCTCCGCCTCCCGGGTTCAGGCAATTCTCCTGCCCCAGCCTCCTGAGTAGCTGGGATTACAGGCACGCGCCACCATGCCCAGCTAATTTTTTGTATTTTCTAGTAGAGACGGGGTTTCACCATGTTGACCAGGATGGTCTCTATCTCTTGACCTCGTGATCCACCCGCCTCGGCCTCCCACGGTGCTGGGATTACAGGCTTGAGCCACCGCGCCCAGCCAAAATAGCTAATTTTTTTTTAGCATCGATTATATTCCAGGCCCAGTTCTAAGCAACATAGGGTTGGGGGTGCCACTCCCTGTGCAATCAAAAATCTGCATGTAATTTCTGAACTCCCAAAAATTTCACTATTAGTAGCTTACTGTTGACCAGAAGCCTTACCTGTAACATAAACAGTTAACACATATTTTTATATGTATTATCTATTGTATTCTTAGAATAAGTAAGCTAGAGAAAATGTTAATTGAGAGAAAAGAAAAATATATTTACTCCTCATTAAATGGAAGTGGATCATCATAAAGGTCTTCATTTTCATTGTCTTCAGGTTGAATAGGCAGAGGAGGAAGAGGAGAGTTGGTGATGCTGTGCCAGGGAGACAGAGGCAAAAGAAAATTCACATATAAAAGTGGACTCATGTAGTTAAAACTCATGTTGTTCAGGGGTCAACTGTATGTACACACATACATACACTCATTTAATCTTCACAACAACTATGAGGTAAATACTAATATTGTATCCATTTTTCAAATGAGGAAATGAAAGCATAGAGCTTTTTAGTAGCTTGTTTGGTTTATGCAGCTGATCAATGAGATCACCAGGAATTCTGACCCAGGGACTCTGAGCCCAAAGCTTGTGCTTTTCATCACCATCACCTGTTACCTACCAGGATGTGGGAGGAGTGATGGAAATAATAAGAGCAGTTTTATAATTTAGTATCTGCAGCAATATCTTGTGGTTCACCCTAATATCTACTATTTCAACTACTATAAAAGGTACTTGGCCAGGCGTGGTGGCTCACGCTTGTAATCCCAGCACTTTGGGAGGCCAAGGTGATCAGATCACAAGGTCAGGAATTCGAGACCAGCCTGGCCAGCACAGTGAAACCCCGTCTCTACTAAAAATACAAAAAATTAGCTGGGCATGGTGGTGTACACCTGTAATCCCAGCTACTCAGGAGGCTGAGGCAGGAGAAATGCGTGAACCAGAGAGGCGGAGCTTGCAGTGAGCCGAGATTGTGCCACTGCTCTCCAGCCTGGGCAACAGAGCTAGACCCCATCTCAAAAAATAAAAAAAAAGGTACTTTACAGATACTGTCTTAGTTAACTCCCACAAAAATACTCTGAGGAAGATATTATTCCTTTGTGTTTCAGATGAAGGCATTGAGGTTCAGAGAACAGTGACTTGCCCAAGGTCACCTTCCACTTGCCCTGCAGATAAAGTCTAAAAGTCCTTAAGGTGTACAAAATGTGACCCATGCTTACCTCTTAATCCTTATCTCTCACCAGAGTAGGTGAAGACCTCCTGTTATTTGCTGCCACGATACCGTGATTCTCTTCCAAATGCTTCTAATTGTGTAACGGTGTAATTAATAACAAATTACTTGTTATATGTTGCCTCTTTCCATTCTGTTCCTTCATAAAGCACAAGTAGTATGAAAATGCAAATCTGATCTGTCACTCTTTGCTTAAAACCTTTCTTTGGCTTCCCATTGCTTTAGGATAAAGAGCAAGGCTCTACTGTGCCCCTGAAGCCCCAAGAGATCCTTCCACAACCCACCTCACCCTTCCCTCAGTTCCATGCTGACTCCTCTCATTCCTTTAGACATGCCAGGCTTTTCCTGCCTCAGGGCCTTTGCACATCTGTTCCATCCATGTGGATGGGTCTTTCTCCTCTCTACATCTGGCTAAGCTCTGCTCATCCTTTAGGTCTCCACTGAAGGATCCCATCCTTAGAGAAACCTTCCCTCATCTAAATTAGGTCCCCCGGGAGATATTAACCAAAGAATAGTTTCAGTCAGACAAAAGGAGTACATTTTTGAGATCTGTTGCACAGCATGGTGACCATAGTTAATAATAGTGTATATTTCAAAACTGGTACGGGAATAGATTTTAAATGTTCTCACCATAGAAAGTAAGCATCTGCAGTGATGGTTATGTTAATTAGCTTAATTATTCTTCGGTGTGTATAGATATAAAACATCACATTGTACCTCCTAAATAATACTATTTGTCAAAAATAAAAATTTAAGTAAAAAAGTAAATCAGGTTCCCCAGTAATTACCTTTCATAGGATCTGTGTCTTACCATGTTGTATTTGTGTTAGATTAATTTAATTTGATGCCTACTTCTTACACTAGACTAAACTTTATGAAAGTAGGGATCCTGTGTGTTTTAATCATTACTTGATTTCTAGCATAGAACATGACTGCTACATTTAGTAGGTCCCCAGTACATCTGTGTTTACTTAGTGTCAGACAAAGCAGGTTTGGAACCCAGATATTTTGACTCCAAGTTCCTGCCTCCCAGTACTGATAAGAAGTAGTAAAGAAGCTAACACTTACTAGGTACCTTAAAGAACTAGTTTTCTAAAGAAGTCTCTGTGGGAAATGCTGGTTTAAGATAAATGTAAGACTTTCCATTTTAAAAACACTTTTAGGCAAGCGCTTTGCTTCTGGATCAGCTGACAAAAGCGTTATTATCTGGACATCAAAACTGGAAGGCATTCTGAAGTACACGTAAGTAACCATTTGGGTGTATGGTATTATGAGTTTGATGCTTATTGAGTAATTGCAGCAAAAGCCTCTTAGAAAAGATGTAGGGGAAAACCTTTTTCTCTTAAATTGAACTAGAAATGAAGTTGTGGGTGTGTGTGGTTGGTATAGGAAGGTTGACTAGTGAATAAGTTAATGAATATTTCTTGGCCACTTACTGGTGTGGCCAGCACTGGACTAGGTGTTTTCATATAGCTCATCTCAGTTCATCTGACATTGCAGACTCTATCCTACCCCCAACCTGTCATCTTCCAGTGTCCCTGTCTCAGAGAATGGCCTTATATCTACCCAGTGTCAAGTGTCAGAAACTTGGGGTGAGTGTGCTCCAGGCCTCCTCTCTCTATTGGGGATCTGCTGTGTTCTTCCCCTCTTCCTCTACTAGTTGGTCCCTACTTACCCCGCAAATCTTAGACTCAAATATCACTTTCTTTCTAAGGGCTTTCCTGCCTCCCTAGACTGGGGCAGGTCTCTTTTGAGGCATTTGTCACAATCGCAGTTTTAGATTTATTCTGGTGACCGATCAGTATTGCTCATCAGCCTGTAAGTTTCATGAGGGCAGATACTGCATCTTTTTTTTTTTTTTCCTCACTCTTGTGTCCCAGATACCATGCTACCATGCCTGGCCCATAATTGATGCTCACCAATTCTCTTCTCTTCTTCTGTTTTCTTCTCTTCCCTCTTCTCTCTTCACTCTCCCCTCTCCCCTCTCCCCTCTCTCCTCTCTC